CCCTTTGTAGAACACTATTTGTATGTTTGTGTGTGTGTGTGTGTGTGTGTGTGTGTGTGTGAATCAGCTTCTTTCTAAAAACTTGATACAGGAAAAGTATTCAAAGAAAGGTGCTATGTCTTGGACTAGAAATGGTATTGATTACTAAAATACCAAAGTGAATTTTCCAGGAAGTAGATATTTGCAAAGAGAGTGCACAACATAAATTTGTAGATTGAATGTATGGATTGCACAATCCATGCATAGATTGCACAACACAGTATCAGAGTAAGACCCAAGGGATTATTTAGCCATCAATGAAGTTCAGCTGCTAACCAGGTTACAAATAAATCTAATATAAAAGAGTGTGGAGAGGAATTTTCCTGAAAAAGAAATTTCAACTAGTATATGCTATATATAGTTCCACACCATTTTACTTCCCCAGGGATGATGACATTTGTTTTAGGGAGGTAGTTTTGAATAAATTTGCCTCTTTGAGCAGATAATCATTATGCAGAGCTGCATCCAAGAAAAGCCAAATTTTCTTCTATAATTTTAACTCTCTGAGAAAATGTTGGGTTTATACTTCAATTGCTGAGGTAGCCTTCCTCCCTCTTTGGTTTATGGTGAATAAGTGCTAACAATTTTTTATTAGAGGCACAGCTCTTCACCTTTCTCATTGATGGGATATAATGCACAAACAACTTAAAGGAAGAGAGGTTTAATTTGGTTCATTCCAAGATTCCATTCATGGTCTGCTGGCTCTGAGGCAGAAGGTTGTGGTGGGGCGGGGCACAGCTGTTCACTTTATAGCATCCAGGAAACAGAACACAGAGGAAGAGCATGAGTGAGAGCCATAATCTCCAAAGTCACAGATCCAGTGATCCACCTCCAATTGGGTCTCACTTCTTGTATCAGTCAATATTTATTAGAGAAACAGATATAACACGCAAGATATGCAAATAAATATGCACTTATAAGATTGGCTTGCAGTGCACACCCATAGAGTGGGTTGAGAAAATGTCCTGAGAGTCTGCCTGTACACTGGAGATCAAAGGATGTAGTCAAAGGTCTGGAGATCACTTCAAATGTCCTTTTCATAACAGGTGGCTAACGTGTCTGCAATAGATAGCTGAAGAGTCTGCTTCGGAATGTTGAAGGATTTGCTCCAAAAGCCCAAGAGTCTGGAAGCCAGGAAATGACTGCAAGGTGAAGGTGAAGATTGGAGCTCCTCTAAAGCAACAGAAGCTTATACATCCTTCCTCATTTCTCCTTTATATCATTCAGGCCATGAGCTGCAGTTAAGCTTCTCTTAATCACACTTCTCATGTCAACACAATCAATCAACCGTCACTCCTCTTAATAGCACTTTCAGCTTTGAACATCAGTAGATTAGGGATAGCAACTCTGTGATCCAATTACCTCTCTATGAGTCTCTTAGTCCACTCACGTGGACTACTGAGTTTAACCATCACAGCTCTATTATTTATATTGGTGAATTTCATACCAGGAATGGTGCTCCCTACTTCAGATGTGAATCCTAAGATCTGATATAGCCAAGTGAACATCTTGACTCCAAAAGGTATCCATTGAGGAGCTTTCACTCTGCTCTGTCTCCATTATCTCAAGATCTCTTCTCATTGTACTATTGTCTCTCATTTTAGGGACACCAAAGACCACCTGCACGTTTCTTAGTTGGCTAGTAGGATTCACAGAGCCGAGCAGCATATCACAGTTAAGGTTTACTCCAGCAGCACAATAAGGATATATAGGTAGAACAGTACAATAATTTCTCAGATAGAGTCTGGAAAAAGAATCTACACACAAGATTTTCTTTGGTGAAAGGCCATGAACAGCACACTGTTCCTGTATTAGTTAAAATCCATCCATTCATGTGCAATGTGTCTAAACAGGTAACACTGTGACTCAAGTTAAGAGTTTTCACTGAGGCTGATCACAAAGGCACCCATACTCATCAAAATTCCAAGTTAGAAGGCAGAAAGTGGGTGATACACAGCAGTTGCAGCAGTTGAATTTTACCACCCAGTGTTTCAAAGATCAGGTTCCTAGACAATAGCCAAGGGTCAGTCTTGAAAAAGGACCTTCTAAAGCTAAGAACCTCAGGTCAGCTGCATTAATTATTTCCTGCAAACTTTTCCCTGTAGCTATGGTCATTTTGGAACAAATGTCCTAGATTTGAGTCTTGATGATATATTTGATGTTTGTCCATTAACTTTCCCAATCTACAATTTCTGATTGTGGAGAATGGGTATGAAACCCAGTTACCAGTGATTATGTACAAAATAATTTAGTTTGAAGCCATTTGCTATTAGGTAGGTTGGTTGACATGACAGTTTTATCTAAGATGCATACCTTAATAAAAAATAATTGGAGAAGTTTCTGCCAAAGTGTAAATTAAATGCTTTACAAAATATTACTACTTCCAGAATTTTCCTTTCTGGCATCTTAGACTATGGCCTCCCTTATACTCTCGCCTCTGGGCTCTGGGCTCTCGGGTTGGGTCAATTGTGCTGCTGCAGGGACATGGCACCGCAGTGTGATCATGGAGACACTGAGAGCTATTGTGAGAGAGGCAGTCAGTGACATATCAGTCAAGGCCTTGCAACTTTGGGAGAAACTATTGGATTTCCATGCAAGAGAAAGGAGAATTTGTTGCAAATTAGGAAGGCAAGAATCAGATTTACACTTAGAAACTCAATCCAGTAGCAGGGTACATTTGGGACCAGGGAGAACCGGGAGAAAAAATCTTTTTCAGGTAAATGATGGTGGCTAGAATTGGGTGATAGCAGTGAAGATGCTGAGACTGTGGAATTAAAAACATCATTATGACTGGAGTTACATTTTTAGCTTGTTATTTTCCAAATAATGTTAACATAAAATAAATTTCATTTTACTAAAAGCAATACAAATTCAAGTTAACCTTTGGCCAAACTAATATTTTAGGTTCTTTGGTGTTTTTGAAAGGGAAATATTATAAAGTAGAAATTGCATGAAGTGGTCTTATTTTATTATCCTTGCAGCTGTACTAGAGTGAGACTTATTACTTTTGTGATTTCTCATATTTCCTCATTATAGACTCCCAAACAACTTAGAAGACGAAGAAACATAAACATCTCAGGCATCATGTGCACAGTGATGATTCTGGAAATGTCTCATCAATTTGTCTTGGCTGGTTATAGTTTTCCCTCGGGATGTCTGTTTCCTGGCCCTCTAATGGGGTGTTGAATTTCCCCAGAGTAGGTGTGAAAGCTCTGCTGTCAGGGTGGTTACGGTGTTTTATGCAAGCTGCCGCTTACTGTCCTGTTCGGGTGTTTTTCTTTTGTCAGTATTCAATTGGATTCTTTCGTTTGTGATTTGGTGCCTATATTAAACTCCATTTGATTCTCTGCTCCTCCTTAAGACTCTATTATGTGTAAAAACAGGGCTTTGTCCTTTAGTGCAGATTTTCTTGTCTTTGGGGAAGCAGTCACTACCCATGCTGCATAATAAGATATATTTAGGGCTGATTAACTTGCGCTGGATCACTGCAAAAAGTGTTGGTCAGGAAAGCGATTTATTATGCTTACCATGCAGGAACGAAGCTCAAGCAAACCTTTAAATACCCAAACATGTCACCAGGGTAAAACACATAAAATCATTCTTTAATGTCAGATATTTACTCGAAGATAGTAAACTATGGAAGCATATTTGTACGTACTTCAGAAAAGTCTTAGTAAAGCAGACTGAAATCAGTTTTGTTTGTGAGACAATGGATCCCTTTCTTGTCAGAAGAGAGAAAAAGCAAAGCTTTCTCCCTCATTTTTGAAAGGGACTGCTAAAAGTTGAAGCTTGATGCTTGCTTTGCCAAATGTTTGTGACACATTTGGCAAGCTACTTCTCCTGTGTGGGTCCCATTTGTAAAATAAAGGATTGGACTAAAAGGTTTTTAAGGTCCTTTCCATTATAGACCCTGCTTGAGATGGGCTGGTGGTTTTTCTATTATTATTCACATAAATGTTTCTAGCTGTTCCTAAACTTGGTTTTTGCTTTTTAAATTACTCTACTAAAAAGTAATTTTTTGATTGTCTAAAATTCTGTTGAAAAAGTTTAAATGTTTTCTGAGTAGAACCTGGTTTTTATAAATACCACAAAAATGTCTAGTTTGATATAAGACAATTTGCATATCTCCACAGGTAGCCCAGCATGACATTATTTTAAGGCATTCTATTAAAAATTTCTGACAGTCTTCAGGATGAATACTTTAACCTGGTCATATTCATATAAGAACCAACTGATACAAAATATCTGGAATGTTTCTTAAAATGGCAATGATATCTAATAGAGCATATTTATTGTCTTCCACATAGCAGTATTTAATAAAAAACTCATTTCATCCTTCAAATAACATGTAAATAAATACTGACTATTTCTTTTTTAGAAGAGGTAAGTTTTTTTTTTGTACTGGGGACCAAATGTAGGACCTTTCACTTGCAAAGAACATGTGATGCCCCTGAGCTAAATCCCCAGCAAAAGAGGTGACTTCTGATGCAGAGAAGGAGCATTTGGCCTAAGATGTTGCTTCACTAGTGAACTCAAGTTCAACCTGATACGGATTTACTGTATACAAAAACAAACATGGTGCTCACTGATGAGCAGCAGAGGAGAATGAGAATCTCAGGGCACAACACCCTTCCAGGATGGAAAAGGAGATCTGGTGTATAGAATAGGAGGCCTTCTGGCCTCTACTCTAGACATTTCATAGCACTTACTGTTCTTTGTAGTTGTTTTTGTTTTGTTTTGTTTTGTTTTGTTTTTGTCATTCATCTCTCTCCACTCAAATGTGAGCTTGATGGAAATAAAACACATGAGCTTTTTGTTATTATTGTTGTTGTTGTTGTTATTCACTTTTTTATATTGCCTTGACTAATGGTGCTCATAAAATGGGCTTTTGAAGTATAGTCATTAAATGAATTATTTGATAAACTATGTATAGTCTAGGCATAGTGAAAGTTGATACTACAGTGCTTGCTTCGGCAGCACATAAACTAAAATTGGAATGATATGGAGATTAGCACGGCCCCCGCCCAAGGATGACAAGCAAATTCATGAAGCATTCCATGTAAGGGCTGGGGACTTAGCTCAGCGATTTGGTGGCCTGCCTTGCAAGAGCAAGGACCTGAGTTCAATCCCTGGTACCCCCCCCGCCAAAGAAAAGAAACAAAGTTGATACTATAGATTTTTAAAAAATATTCTGTAGGACATTGAAAGGGAAGATTAATTTTGACAGATCATGAATAAAACTTCACAAAGGAGGAAACATTTGGATTGGATTTACAAACTATCATTTTTCATTTGGTAGAAATTCTGTGCAAAGGGCTCTTTCAGGAAAAGCCAACGAGATAAGAAAAAGGCAGATTTGGAAAACTACAGGGCACAGAGAGAATAAATTTAATAATCACTAGCACTAATGAATTTCTTCTGCACTACATGTGTGTGTCATGTGCATTGTCTCATTTGATCAACATGTGGGGAAGCTGATGCTCCACCAACCCCCTGGAAACATTAAATTATGTGTCCTATGGCATAAGGAAATTAAGAAAAACGATAAACTGGTATGGGAGAGGGAGAAAAGGGAAAAGTGTCAGTGAATGCTTATATTTTGGAACACCTGTCATGCCAGTGTAGGCATATGAAATTTCTGCAGAAGGACATGAAGAATGAGTTGTTCTCAGAATGGCTTCAGAGAGTCTGTGACTGAGAAAAGTGACTCCAATGTTAGGGTGATACACAGCTCAAAAGTTGCAGTTGCTAGCAGGTAAATATCTAAGAAGACTCTTTCCCCAATTCCTGAAATTTAAAGAAGATTAAGCTTTTCTGAAGCACATGAGAAAGATATGTGAGAGATATGTGAGGGACATATGTGGCCTTAGAATTAATTGGAAGATAAGAAATCAACTGAAGTTCAAATGCTGAGTGATTTGGATGGGATGTGGCCAGCAACCTAACTTCTTTCCACTAAGCCTCATCTCCCCAGGGTTCTGCCATCTCCCTGTGGCACCACAGGCTGAGCACCAACCTTTAACAGGAGTCTTTTGGGGACAATTCAGATGTAAATTATAGCATATGGCTTTCAGATCAGTTGTTCTTGAATCACAAACTATTTAAGTTGTATAGAACCATAAAGTTTATTTTACCATTTAGTACATTCATATACCTATTAGGAAACTAAAGTGCAGAAAGAAAAATATCCTCATTTTCAACAACATATTTACTTAGTGGCAGAGGCAGAACATTGAAAATACATATTTGAAATTTAAGAAAAAAATCAGGAATGTGGATATAGACATGAATGTAAATGAATCTAGATCTATGACAAGTTACAGAACTGACATTACTATTTTTTCTAGATTTGTTATTTTTCAGATACTGTTGGGTGCATAACAGTATTGGGTTAAAAAGTTTTTCTCACATACATAAAATGTCAGGGAGAAAAGATAAGCTTGGGAAAGAATTTGCATTTTAGCCAAAACTAAAAAAGGAAAGCCAACAATCCAAATTCTAAATCAGCATCCCTTTCCACATACTAAGAGTAGTAATTCTCTGCTTAAGTGAAGTTCTAATATAATGAAGCAATTCTGATATTCTGTATGGTTCATTAAGGCATAATTTTATTACTTTGATGAATTCTTGTACTATTGCCAAATCTAGTTAAATATTTTTGTGGTAACACAATCCTCACTGGTATTTCTTAGAATGATTCTGTTTTACATAAGGCAAGACATTTAATAAGTTGAATAAAATCCTAGATATAATACAATTCCAGTATAGTACAGTTGTTTAACATGCTTCTGTTAGTTCTCTCTCTGATCCCATAATTTACTGTGAAAAACCAACCAACCAACCAACCAACAAACAATGAGCACACCTTTTAACTTCCCTTACTTTCGTTCTGCAGAGTTTCTTAGAGGAAGCATTGGATCATTCAGAAGAATGGTTCTTTGGGTGGTTGCAATTTGACAGCCCTGAAAACACACCATTAATGGTTTTTCAGAGCAGGTGCAAAGGCACTCTACTCCCCTGCTCCTGAGCACTGAACCCATAACCGTGATGGTGAGAAGTGGTTTGAAATGTGCTATTTGTTTCCAGAATTGCCCCCAAATGTCCAGCCAATTCCTTGTGTGTATTCACATATGTACTTTTCTTTTGGTTTTGTTATTAGAATGGAACTTAAAGGATCCCAAAACTTTAATATCCTATTTCCTTTTTTCCTAGTTGTACTTCCAAGGAACCTGGCATCTAATGGAAAAATTCTCCAAATGCTTATGCTCTATGACTAATATTAATTAGCTATTTTTGCATTTACAAAGTATTATTGTATGCACCAAAATCATCTGAGTTTATTCCTGGGCCTCTGTTGGGTATTGTCGATAATATTCCATGAATGATGAAATTGAGGATAATATGTGACATGTGAGTGTCATTGTTCAATCGTTTTCACTGTCCGTGCTTTGTTTTTGCAAAAAGGAAATAAGTGAAATTTTTAGGATTAAAAAGTGAGTGAAAATATGTGGAGCAGTTTTAGCAATTTAGCTTTGATGAACCAAGATGTTTGTAATGTACTGATGATGAACCTCACTTGCATCATTTATATTGTACACTAGTCCAAGCCACTCAGTGTATCTGAAATAAAATCTAAAGGATATATATATTACTTTTCCAGGTTTCAATCTTTTCTCCTCCCCTTCTTCTTCTTCTTCCTCCTCCCCTCCTCTTCCTTCTCCTTTTTCTCCCTCTGAGGGCTCATAATTCACCTCTTGTTTTTAGAGAAAATATTCTAATTTGGTGATTGAATACTCATCCAGTCTGAGATGATGTGAGAGCACAGAGGGCGTTTGTTGTCAGCCTAAGATTCTTAAAAAAAATCTTGAGTTACAGGAAGCCTGAGTATTGGTAAAGACCATACTCTTCTGAGTAGTTTTTTTTTTCTTCTTCTTAATTTCCTATGCCATGGGACACATTATTTAATATTTCCAGCTCTGCCTATGGGTATGACAGTGAAGTGAAACTGTAAAAAAATCTGAAACATAGACATATCTAACGGGGTGGTTATTTTTCTCTCTCCTAGGCCTTCTATAAACTATAGATAAATTCTAATGACTTGTATCAAAGAGTTAATGAGGTCATTTCCATAATTATTCATCTGTCTAAAGTGAAGAGAAGTGGGAAGCCACTTCAATTGTCAAAATTAATCGAAGCATCAATCAAGAGCTCATAGATTTTGAGATAATTCTGTGTTTAAACTCAATTTAGTTTCCACAGGGGGACTGTAACCTGCCTAGGAGGCTTAATTAGGCTAACTGCCTGAAAAACAGCATAAAACATATGGGTGGATTCCCATTCAAAACTGGGTTTATGAGCATTCGCAAAGCTCTTACTGAAAATGAATGAATCTTCTGGTAAACCTTCTGTTTAGTAATTCCATAGGGCGACTAGAAGCAGCTCGGAAGGAATTGATCTTTTGAAACTGGTCTTTATATTATGCTTTGCTCTTTGTGTACCATGGTTTGAGCTTTGAGAGCCCATGAGAGACAGAGTACATTCAAGGGGCTGTTTCTAAAGCTTCAGATCAAAAATGAAACTTTTAATATCCCTAGGGAATGCCACTTTGTCCCTGTGCCTTCTGAAAAATTCAATAAATCAAATATTATTATGCAGTTTTTATATAAAGTCCTAGGGAATACAGAGATAAATAAGCACAATTTTCATTCTTAGGAATCTTAATGAGAGTCATAGATACATACATAGTGAATTAAATAAATTATAGACTGTGATGAGAACTAAAGGTATAAATGAACAGAAATGAAAGCATAGGTAGGGAGTGACTAATTGTCTGATGAGATCAGTGAGATCTTTGTTGAAAAATGTCTTTTGCAGATGGGTTTTGTAGAAACATTCCAGAAACGGAATGGACCCCATGCAAAATCTGGACCAAATGTCAAGACCGCCCACACCCCTCAGACACACACAAAGTATGCAAAGTATTATTACTTACACAATGAAGATGTTTAGAACATAGCAAACTTCTCAAGGAGGTCAGAACAAAGAAAGGAGGTTTGCTTAGGGTTTTATTGTGATAGGGGCAGAGGTCAAACAGATATGTGTGCATCAACAGTGCTTGCTTCGTGCAAAGCTTCTGTGGTTACTAAAAAGGAGGGAGCACTGGGGTTTATTTATCAACTTGCCAATATAAGACTCACAAGGATAAGAGGGAAAGGGAAGGTCTGAAAGCTATCATTGTGCAAGCATCAAAAACTGGACTCAGACTCTTCATAGCATCTAGATTCCTCTGATTCCATTTTATATGGGCATTAAAAATCCTACCTCATCAGTTTAATTTGAAACATGAAGAAAAGGTTTTAGTAACCTATGGTAGTCAAAATATGCTACCTCAGTCAGTTTTCCAACAGTTGATATCACCATACTGTTTTTCTAGAAAATCAAGGCTGATAAAATTCTGCCTCCCTCAAATGTGTCCTGTATGAGTACATAACCAGCATGCTCTTCCTTTATCTTCCACCTCACCCCTACACCCTCACATGTTCCCTGGCTCCCTGTAGATCCTCGGTCTGCTCCTGTCCATTAGTTCTTGCCATCACCTTAGGAAAATTCCACCACCAAAACCATGACACATCCAACACCTTAGCATAAGAACTTTCTGTTTTCCTGAACTCTAAAGACCTTTCCTTTCATCATGCTACAGGTGCCCACTCCTTTGGATGTTGGCATGAATTCTGAAATTTTTAACCTAGGTGCTCTAAATTCTAACCATGCCACCTTAACTCTACATAGTTGTAAGTCACTTGCTATATAGCTGAATTATTTGTCTCTTCAGACTCTTTTCAATTGTCATCCAATCTCAAATTATTCTTTAGATTCTAGTTATTTGTGTTAAACTAGAGCAAATAGCCTGCTTACCTGGTTCCCCTCTCCATTTCCACAGTTCTCAAGCATTTAATACTTTGGTAATCATTTTGGGACATGTCTTTAAAGATTGCAAGCAACTTGAATATAAAGAGTATGTCTTTGTCATTTTTGTAACTCTAGTGCTTCTCACAGTTCTTGACA